AGGTGTCTGATCCACTTTGACTTTTGTGTATGGTGTGAGATGTGGATCCTGTTTCAGCTTTGTTTTACAAACAATGTGTTGAAGAGGTTTTGGTTTCCCCATATGGTAGGTTTTATTTCCTTGTTGACTATCAGTTGACCATAAATAGTTAAGTCAATTTCTGGGTTCTCAATTCCATTCCCTTGGTCTATGTGCCTGTCATTGTACCAGTACCATGCTGGTTTTGTCATTACTGCGGGTAATAGATTTTGTTCTGATGACTGCCTCCTGGTCCAAGAATAGGTTTTACAGAAGTACGATCAAATATTCTGGGATTCCCATTCTTCTCAGAGTCAACCAGTTTGTTGTGTTCCACACAAACACCTTTGCATAATCAATGTAAGACAAATAGACATTCCTCTGGTACTCCCTGCTTTCAGCTAAGATGCATTTTGACATTAGCTACAATATCCCTAGTACCACGACCTCTTCTTAATCCAGCCTACACTTCTGGCAGTTTTCTGTTGATGTGCTGTTCCAGTCGTTTTTGGATAATCTTCAGAATCTTGCTTGCATGTGATATTAATAATATTGTTTGATAATTTCCACTCTGTCGGATCTCCTTTCTTTGGAATGGGGAAAAAATATAGATCTCTTCCAGTCAGTTGGCCAGGTTGTTGCCCTTCAGATTTCTTGGCACAGCTTGGTGAGCACATCAAGGACATCATCTGTTTGTTGAAATATATCAATTGGTATGTCATCAATTTTGGGGGCTGTTTTTTGCCAATTCTTTCAGAGCAGCTTGAACTTCATCACCACAGGCTCTTCCTCATATGTTGTTTCATGAAATTCTTGTGTCCACCAATTCCTTGTGGTACAACAACTCTTCCCATCTTTTTAAAATTCTTCCTGGATAACTTAATATTCTGCCAAAGCAGCCTTAATTATTCTTGAGGCTTGAATTTGCTTTTCAGTTCCTTGAGTTTAAGAAATGCTCTGTGAGTTCGGCCCCTTTGATTTTCTTACTCCAGCTCTTTGCACATTATAATACTTTGTCTTCCCATGCTGTCCTTTGAAATCTTCTGTTCAGCCCCTTAATAACTTGATTTCTTTCTTCTGCATTGGTTTCTTGGTGCTCTAGGGCAATGTTCAAAGTCTCTTCTGACATCCATTTTGGTCTTTTCTTCCTCCTGTCTTTGTAATGACCTTCTGCATTCTTCTCGGATGATACTGATACCCTCCCATATCTCATCTCGTCTTTGCTCATTAGTGTTACAAGGCTTAATACCTGTTCCTTAGATGGTTTTGAAATTCAGATGACATAGACTCAACGTCTATTTTTGGTTCCCATGGAAACCTATACTTGAACCAGGAGACAGTCATCAGAACAGAGCAAGGAAACACTGCATGGTTCAAAATTGGAAACGGTGTACACCAGGGATGTGTCCTGTCTCCATACCTTTTCAACCTGTATGCAGAACAGAGTACTGGGAGGCTGGGTTCTATTGAGCAGAAATGTGGCATCAGGATTGATGGAAAATTCATCAACAACCTGCATTATACAGGTGACACAACCCTGCTTGCTGAAACTGAGGTGAACCTGAAGCGCTTGCTGCTGAGGGTCAAGGACTGCAGCCTTCAATATGGATTGAAGCTCACTATCAAGAAAACAAAGATTCTCACCACTGGGCCAATTGGTAGCATCTTGATGGATGGTGAAGAGATTGAGATTGTAAACAGCTTTAGTTTGCTTGCCTCCACAATCAACACTCTTGGCACCAGCAGCCAAGAAATTAAAAGATTTATTGTGCTGGGAAAGACAGCTGTCAGAGACCTCTCCAAAATACTGAAGAGCCATGTCATTCTAGAGATTAAGGTGCACCTGATGCAGGCCATGGTCTTTGCAATCACTTGCTATGTATGCATCAGAGAACTGAACAATGACTAAGAATGATAAAAGGAGAATTGATGCTTTTGAACTGTGGTGTTGTAGAGTATTGAATACATACCATGGATTGCTATGAGAATGAACAGTTTTGACATACAGAAGGTTAAACCACACTGCTCCTTGGAGGCAAGGATTCTGAAGCTTCATCTGACATACTTTGGACTTTTGGACAGTCCTTGGAGAGGGACATCATGCTTGGGCCATTGTCTTTTAATTCTGTGCTATGCATCTGATAACTGGACAGTAAATAACAGAATAATCTTTGAATTAGGTGTTTGTGGAACATAACTGCAAAAAAAACAGATGTGTTCTGAAAAAGGTACTATCAGATTACTTGCAAACAAGGATGTCAAAGCTTTGTCGCACATTACTTTGGGTATGCTGTTAAAAAAAGGTCAGTCCTTAAAGAGCAGAATGTCAGTGAAGGAGCTGAAGACCCTAAATGAGATGGAATAATGCAGGTAGGAGTTTGAGCACGTCAGAGATGCTGAAGATAGAACAAGGTTCCGAGATCTGTTGTTCAGAGTCACTGAATCATATTCAACACAAGGCACCTAACAACATCCAATAACACTAGCAATTAAGTTTATCTGTCAAAATAGTAGGTCAGTATCTTTTAGTAAATTGTGGACATAGATGAATCATTAACTGACAAGGACAGTCCAAATTGCAATTATATTAAAGATGCCATTTACTTCTCTATGACTAAGTGATTTACCCATTAAGCCGTTCAAAAATTTAAAACAGCCAGAGATAACATTTACTTATTAGCAACATTTTATTTATTAACAAACATCTTTGTTAACACAAACCAAACATATGAAGGGAATATATGGACATACAGACCTTCAACACTTAAAATGTTTAACACAAAAATACAACGAAACAAGCAGAAATTTAACCACTAATAGTGGCAGAATTGAAAAATAAATTATATGGTATATTCACAACAGCTTATAAGGTAATTTCTAAAGATATGATAAAAGATCTTTATAATATGTATAATTACATATTTACCACAATACATATACAAAGTATTAACAAATTTAAAGTACTAAGTCTTAGAAGCACTTGAAATACAGTAAAGTTAAAACCACAAAACTATACTGAGCTACTTTTTCATCAATGACTAGCTCACTAGTTCCGGCTGAATATTCATCCTCCGAAGCACTTCTTCAGGCATACAAAAAACAGGACTAACAGGCTTAATCTGCTCTTCTCCCAGAAGTGATAATCCAGCAATCCCAAATAAAGTGTGAAAAGGATCAACCTATTATGGAGGGGAGGAAAAATGGGGTCTGTTTATAGGCCACATATAAGAAAAAGAACATTTTATACTTACTTCAATAAACAATCACTGATTTTTTTCCCTTGTGGCCAGAATATTATTTTAGACACTCAGGTTAAATTAATCTCATGACATTAATCACAGTAAGTAAAAAACTATTCCATCAAAGGTAAGATACTTTGTATGGGCAGTACCTAGAAATATGCCTGGCCTACATAAATTCAAGCAATGTTTTTTTCAATATTTACCAAAAAGTATTTTCTCAAGTATTTCATTAAACTTACTGTGCACAAATGATCAAGCACGTTATCAGTGAAAACTAGTTAAGACCAAAATTTAGATTTTGAAATGGACTGTCACTTTCAAAGGAAAAACTAACCTAAATACACCTAAATTTTGGAAGTACAGCTAACTAGATACATAAGCAAGCTAACACACAAACTATGGTGTTCATGATTGTTCTCACCATATCTCCTGGCCTGTCTGCAAATCCTCCAGTTTCTTCATCTTGACATGCTAAAATGAAACTACGCAGTTTTTCCCTGTCAATCCAATGAAGTCTTCCAATTATCTTCAAAGAGGCCAACACCCACCATGAATAACATACATCTGGTAACTAGGAGGGAGGGGGAAAAAACCCACAAAGGATTACCCTAATTTTAGACTTTTAACCATTTAACCTTTACTAGCGAAGAAATAAAATTGTTGTCATACTGTCTAGTAATCTGATGCTGGTATGTTGATATTTTGAAAGCTACGTTTGAAATGCTAAATCCCATCATTACAGATAATTATATATTAGAAAGAATACCAATCAACAGGCACCCTTGCTCAGTATTTGTATTATTAACTATTGAACAAGGATCCCATCTTACAGGCAAACCCATTTGCTTTTATTTTTCTTGCTGGATTTTATTCTACATTACAGTTATGTGGTTGTTCTCTGGAAGACAATGTCAATTACAATCTTACAATTACAATCTGGTTGTTTAAATCCAATTTAGATTAATACATGGCATAATATTTAGATCAAATGCAATTATTTTCACTCAACAATTAAGTCTCTGGCTACCAAAGATAATGTTCTTTCATATATGGCTGAGTCCCTGGGTCCCAAAATATGTAACATTGTTTATATCTTCTAAACAAAGTGTGTTATTTTTATGCTGGTAAACGCTATAGTTAATTCTGCAGGTAACATGAAGCCCTAGGGTCTAGTGTAGAGTATTAAAGATCAAAAGACTTAAACAAACAAAACACCCCAAACTAAGATAAACTATACCTTCTCTGGTCTTCCATTGAGTCCACCTGATGGTAACTGCCGTTCACAAAGCCACCAACCCAGCAAATCAGAATTCACTTGATGTAACTGACTAGTAATAGCAAGGAATCCTGTGCAACAATAGATCTAAAATTACAGACATAAAGTAGACGTGTATAAAACTATTTTAATTTTTCAATAGTAAAATTCCTTTTTCTAATGTTAATTCTTTGTCATCTGCCAATAAAAGAAACATTTAGTGTTTCAAATATTTGACACTCAAATACATTAAAGTCTATTACTAATTGCTGTCAAATCTCCAGAGGGTTTTCAGACACTTTCCCAAGAGATATTGCGCCTCTCTTGTTGGAGAAACTAGTGGGCTCTCTTCTGGACAGCATTTCAATTCCTTACCCACTAGGCCACCATAGGTCCCTATGGCTTTTACTGCTGTTTTGACTCAGCGATTCTGAGCCAACATTACAATCTCTGACACACTTGAGACCAGCGCTTGTCACTGTGTCAATCCACCTGGCTGAGTGCCTTCCTCTCCCCTTCACCGTTCCACCTTTCTAAGCAAGATGTCTTTTATTACTAGGTTCTAATTCTACACTTGAACTTCAATCTCACTGTCCTTAAAAACAACTCACTGATGAACCTCTGGTAACTTTCTCAGGTTAGAAACAGCATGGGAGGCAGCCACCTATCTTTCTCTCTCAAGAGCGGATTCAGACTCAATTTTCACACTAAGTTTCTCCAAGAGCTCATATATTATAAAAGTACAAATAACAGAAATTTGACATGAAATAACTTTACTTCTCAGACAAAATAAATTTGTCAGTCTGGACTACCAACCTTTCTCATTCTACATGCTTTATTTTAAGAGAAAGGTATATAAAGGAATACTTTATCATTATAATTTATAATTTAATCAGCAATTAAATTATTCTTACATTAACAACCTCATTATCTAATCACATGGAAATGACTTAACATTTTTAGTTTACTAACAAGTTGTAAAAAAAAAAAAAAAAAAAAAAAGGATTAAATTTAAATTATGAATAAATTACCTGCCCAGCATGAGATTCTGAACCTGGTCTACAACCAAATCCACCATCAAAGTTCATACATGACAAAACAAACTCAATTGCCTTTTCCACATTAATAGCATCCAACTTCCCCTACAAACAGAAAAACAGATTATTAAAAACTCCACAATAGTCATCTGTGATTCAATATTTCAGTCTAACACTGGAAACTTACCAATAAAGCCAATGTTGCCACAGCACAGAAAGAAAATCTTGTATCAATCTCTCCTGAAAGGAACAAATCAAAGTAAAATATATTTGAAAGTTTTACAAGTTGCATATTTAAGTTCCAGGTCTCAGACCAATTCTAGAGCTAAAGTAGCTACAATCAGCTTTAGGTTCAGAATACATGCCAACTCATCACAGACCCTAAATAGCAGTTTCCCCAAGAGTAAATTATTCTGGTCTAGTTTCTTCCTACATATTAATGAGCGCAAAAGCTAAATAATTAGTGATTTTATTTCTGAGAAAATTGCTTTTTCAGAAACAGCAAATTAACAAAACTAAAGCACTAAGTTTTAATGCTTTAAACTTACCCTATTTTATCAAAGCAGATTTTCACATCCCATGAAGCAGCTGGTCTCTCTGGCCTGTACTATGTACATTCCTAAACAGAGATTATCTACATTTATCAAGTAAAATTGTACTCCCTCCCACCACTCAAATATTCAGTAAATTTGTAAAGTTTATTGAATGAGTTTTATTTCCGATATTTTATAAAACAACTTTACAAAGCTACCAAATATCGGGGAGGGGAAGCCTCACCTACCTTATCTTTTAGACTTGCCCCTCTGTTCCAATGTTCCTGTATGCTGATTTAACTACCAGTGTATGCTGGAACTTCCAGCAGACCAGTTAACTCCTGTTAAACTAGCTGCTTCATGGGACCTGAAAAGATGAAAAACTTGAAAAATAGAACTCTGCACTAATATATTTAGACATAGGAGCTTTGCTCCATTAGTGCCTTATAAATTGATTAGTAGGCAAAGCTTACAATTCACTCATCTCCCAAGAACTAAATGAGCATTCTAACCCACCCCAAAGCTTTTTTGTGGCAAAGCTTATTTCTAGAACAAGACACAAAAACAGGATACTAATACTAGTATTTTATTATGGGCTAAATTTTTACATTACCCCAAATGTCTCCAGCAAAAGAACCATCTTCTTTCTGTAGACTCTGAACATATTCCACAACTTTATTTATATCAATAACATCAATACTATCATAAAGCGTGAGAATCTGCAACAAAAACAAAACAGTAAGATTTTGGAACCCACTGTCATCAAAATAGCTACATATGCTGTTATTCTTGTTCAGTAACACTTTTTTCATACTTAAATAAGCCTGTATGTAAATATACATAATATCCTTAAATCCCATTTTCAAATCTGATTTTAACTATGCATTCCAAGATAGTAAAACACTAACAAAATGTGGATTAAGTATATTTTTTTTAATTATTATTTTGTATCTGTGTACCGTCAAATCAGATCTGACTGGTACAGGAGGATATTGCACCTCCTCCTGCAGAGCGTCTGGTGGATTCGAACCGTGTTCCTCTGGGATTGCAGTGCAGTTTCTTGCCACTAGGCCACCAGAGCCCCCCCCCCCAAGTATTTTAAGCCCAAATCTCAAGTGATCTTTACCAACAGTAATTTTGATGCACTAAAATACCATCCAAGGTCTCAGTGTAATTCTAGAGCTTGTTGATTGATACACATCAACTTTGGATTCAGCTAATACATGCCATCACATCATTGACCTTGCCAACTCTTCCACAGGCCTAATTTCAACTGCCTTACTTGCAAGATACAATATACAACACGAGATTTTAATTATTTACCTGGACAGCACTAAGAGTATACAAAAGATGAGGATCATGTCCAATACTAGCACTTATTCCACCGGACTCATGTTGACATGACTTTATAAATGTCAGTATTTCTTCTCTATTCATGCGATGAAGTTGTCCCATAAGATCCATTACTGTCAGACCCCAGTAGATGCCACTCATTCTCAAATACTCAGACATACAATATTCCTAAAACAATCATTTCATTAAAAAAATATGGTTTAGTACGTTAAAATATTAATAGTAAAAATCTGATTCATAAAACTAAGTAATAGACTATTTCCCAGAGAATGGCCATCAGTGTGTACCTGTGTCTCTGAAATACCACTATCATTATTTACCAGATGGTAATTTTTTAAAAAATCTTAGAACTCACTGATATGCAGACAGAGCCGCATAATCAACTAGTCAGGTTAAAATAAATAAAATTAAAAAAATCTAGGTTCTGATTATAACCTGGACGATAAGTATGCACTTATCGTCCTGGAAATACAAATTACTAAAACATGCCAATTATTTAAACCAAGACACAATAGTGGGTAAGACAAGGAGGCATAAAAATCTTACTTTGTCCATAAATTTAAACCTTAGTCCCCGATGTATTTCCTGCCAGCCCATTAAAGTTTAATGAGGGAAGGACAAGTGGGAAAGGGGAAAGAAAATAAGACGTGCAAAAAGTATGGCCAGTAATCTCATGACTTGCTGATGAGCTCCTAGTAGACAGAATAGCGATTTATTAGTTAGTTGTGTAGCTATTCCCAAAGATGGCAAAAAAAAAAAAAAAAGTCACTTTAGTTTGGGTAAGGTAAAGTTACTTTCAACTGGGATATTTTAAATGTCCTAGAAAAAAATTATTTACAGCATTTAACATCTTGCAGTAAAACTTTTTCAAGGTCTCAGTGTAATTCTAGAGCTAAGTGATAGGACACATCAGCAGTAAATTCAGATAATACATGCCAATACATCATCGACCTTAAAAAATACTGCAAAAAAAAAAAAAAGCAACCTCGTGAGAGCTTTAAAATCCTTACAATCCTAAGCATAAGGACAACGTTGTCTACCAAAGTATTTTACTGATTAAGAACCTTAAATGAAACAGCCAATGTATATGTAGAGCACTCTGAAACCAAAGGCTGGACAAGATTTTTAAGAAACCAGGGATACTGCCCTGCTTATTACCTAGGCAGGATAGCCTCCCTTTTTAAAAAGAGCAAATTAAAAGTATTACATACATAATCATCTTTCTTTGAGCCATAGGACGCTATATAATCTGCATGTTTCTCCAGCAGTAACGTGTCCGGTGCATCTACTTTGATAACAACATCCTTCTGAGGTGTGCCCTTACAAAATATTAAGAGCAAGAAATCAGGTTAAATTCGTAAATATTCTACCAATGTTCTGCTTCACAGTATATCCATCCCCATCATTTATTTCAAAGAAACTTCAACTTAAAAAAAATGTGTGTACAAGGCAAAATAGAAAAAATATATATACACACATATAATAGAAATTCTCCAGGTCTCAGAGTAATTCTAGAGCTAAAGTAGCTATAATCAACGTTAGATTCAGAATACATGCCAACTCATCATCGACCAAAAAAACGTTATGAATAGCAAAGAAAAAGCAAAGATTAAAAAAAATGGAAAAGTTTTAATTGTTTGAGATTAAAAAAAAAATCCTTTTCAGCTTTCAAAGGTGTTTTAAAAATAGAGCTGCAAGGCCCAATGCATTAGACAAGGCCTGAAAAATTAACAGGAAGCCCGCCCGCGAGGTCCACAGAAAATGCTGAGTAATATTCCGACAGTTCCCCAAAACTTCCCAACTCTCATATTCTACCCAACTGCTCTCCAGTATCTAGCATACAAACCGACGACAACTGAACTAGTAAGCCTTCTGGGTTGCTCTTTCCAATAACATCAGTGAAAAACAGGAGATGAGAACACACTCACCATGACTGAAACGGAAAAGAGAAAGACGCGGCAGTTCCTGAGTAACTTAAACGCCTCGCGCCTGCGCAGAAGCACACCGCTGGCCCCCTCCGAGCCCTGGCATAGTTGTCCACACTCTTGCCTGAAGGACAGAGCAGTTCCATAGCAGCTGCAGGACCCCATCGGCTGATCATAGGTGTCCTTGCTGCCTGCACCCAAAATCTTTAATAATGTGAGGAAGCAAGGACTCAAATGACTATTTTCTAGATGGAAGTTTTGCTTAACTCAAAATTAATTAATAATTATCTTTTTCCTTCTGACTCATAAGAAGTAAAAGGGCTCGAAGTTAAACACACACGCCCCCACCCCAGTATGCCAAGTTAGTTTGATTTCTTGGATTTGAAATAGTCTTCAATGACATCCTTGGTCGGGGATTCTTTGCCATAGTCCATAACAACTACACAACTGCAGCCAACTACTTCGCAGGGCTTTCCTTCTTGGTCAGTTTTGCAGACGCCTACCCACGTGGTCCCCCAGTTTCTTATCTTTATGGACACAGACTGCATCTTTATGGACGTAGACTGCCAAACCTTTATTCCAGAGTGGTAGTTTTTGTCAGGCCCAGACCAAGGTCAAAGGAGGAGAATGAAGGATTAAATATCAACATGTCAACAAAGGGAGTGAACAGCCCACCTGGCGAAACAACAATGGAATGTCCTTCCCTTCCCTCCCTAAAGATCCTATTATAAAATCCTGCCCCAAACTACCATTGTAGTTTGTTGTTGTGTAGTTGTGTGTCCTTGAGTTGCTTGCGACTCATAGTGACCCTATGAACAAGAGCCCTAAATCCTGCTCTGTCCTGTGCCAACCTCACCATCTCCGACACACTCACTATCACCACCCCAATCACAGAATCAATCCATCTCATGGAAGGTCTTTCCTGCACCATCCCTCCACTCTCCCAAACATGATGTCCCTCTCCAAGGACCAGTCCCCTCCTTGCAATGTGCCCGAAGTATGTCAGAGGAAGCTTCAGAATCCTTGACTCCAAGGAGCACTCCGGCTATACCCTTTCCAGGACAAACCTGTTTATTCTCCTAGCAGTTCATGATATATTCAACCCTCTTCTCCAGCACCACAGCTCAAAGGCGTCAATTCTCTTTCTATCATCTCTAGTCACTGTCCAACTCTCCGATGCACAGCACATAATTGCAAAGAGTATAGCCTGGATCAGGCACACCTTAGTCTCCAGCCTGACATCATTGCTCTTCAGGACTCTTGAGAGGTCCCTCACAGCTGACTTTCCCAGTGCAATTCGTCTCTTGATTTCCTGGCTGCTGGGACCAAGAGTGTTGACTGTGGAGCCACTGGTGGATTACAACCGTTGACTTTGCTTTAAGCAGCACTACACTTCATACTTATTGCTACACATTGTATATCACTTGCTATGCAGCTGAGAGCCGGGCAATAACAGAAGAATTGATGCCTTTGAGCTGTGGTGTTGGAGAAGAGCACTGAACATCCTATGGATGGACAATCAGAAGTACAAACACATGTGTCTTGGAGAGGGTGCAGCCAGAGTGCTGGAGGCACCTCATGTTCTGGCATGTTGCTAAAAAGGGTTATTCCTTGCAAAGGGAAGGTAGAATGTCTGCAAAGGAAAGAAAAACCTTCAACCAAGTGGATTGACACGGTAACTGCTGCAATGGGCTCTAGTGTGTCAGGAAGTGTGTAGATGGCCCAGGATAGGATGGGGTTTGGATTGCTATGAGTTGTACTCTACTGGATGGCACCTTACAACAACAACCACACATCACACACTGGATCTGCAAAGTTTCTTTACCTTCACCACTGTTTATTGTTAGATGCCATCGACTCAGCTACAACTTACAGTTGATAGGCAGATCTAAATGTGGTCCTATACTGTGATCTCAGCTCTATCCTGCTGTTCTGATCAGTCACCTCCAATTTGTCTAAAAAAATTATTAAAAAATTTTAAACATGTGTGGCTTTTAAGAAAAGAAAATTAGATTGAAGAGTTTTGGAATGATTAGTAATTAATACAATAATACTGTTTATTTATTGATAAATATTAATAAAATGATAACATTTCCTTAATTTTCTTTTTTTAAGATACGTAACTCTGAAATTTATTCAAACATGAAAGCATGATGAGCTTTAATTTTGTCTTTTGCTAAGTCATTTGTTTGTTGTTTTTTTAAAGGTCTACCTCTCTTTGGCCTATCCTCTACTTTTTTTAATTGAGATTTTAATGAAAGATTATAGAGAACTTGGATTGCCATTCATTCATTGTTGCATATTTTCCACCTTGACCACCTCTCGCCCTCAGTTCACTTTTCTCTTTGAAAGAAAAAAAAATTTTGTTATATAATCCACCCTCCCCTTTATTACGCAGCTCTTATTCTGGACTCTTATCATACACATAATACCTAATCATATATTCCTTTTAAGCACTTCTCTCCCTCATCTATTTCAATGCAGTGTACATTATTTATTCCCTCTTTTCTTAGTTTCCTCCCAAACCCAATGTCAGTCTTGTTTTATAACAGTGACATTATGCAGTATTTGCCATTTTGTGACTGAGATATTTCACTCAGCATAATGTCCTCCAGGGTCACCAATTATTATAGTATTTCATGGGTTCCTTGTTTTTCAATGCTGCATAGTATTCCATTGTGTGAATATGCCACATCTTCTACCACAGCTTCATTCGTTTGTTGATGGGCACTTGGGTTGTTTCCAACTCTTTGCTATTGTGAACAAAGCAGCAATAAACATAATGCGTGCACTTAATTTTCCTTCTGTTCATTGGCTTAGTGGTAAGGAATTGCCCTGCAAACCCAAAAACATATAGTTTAATTCCAACAACTTCTGGAGGGAGAAGAATGGGTAATCTCTTCCCTGGCAAGTTACTCCTTTGGAAAACCTAAAGGAAGGTCTGTTACAGGTGTGTTCAGTCTCCAAAGTACACAGCAACAACATTTCAGATGCAGTTCATATTGCATCTGGCTTATTCTTGTGTAAATATTTTTTTTTACATTTATATTTTATTTGTGCGTGTGTATACTGTCAAATCAGTTCCAACTGGTACAGGAGGAGATTGCCCCTCCTTCTCCAATGGAGCATTTGGTGGATTTGAACCTCGTGCCTTTGGGATTGCAGTGTAGCTTCTTGCCATTAGGTCACCAGAGCTCCCTTACAAGTAAACTACTTTTTTTTTTTTGTTTTGATTTTTTAAAATTTTATTTTATTAATTTTAATGAACATTTACAGAGATTTTGGATTTTCATTCATTGATGGTTACACTTTTCTCCCTGCCCAGCCTTCCCTCCCAGTTCACTCCTCTCTTTGAAAAGTAAAAGAAAAATTCTTTCATTGGTATACAATCCCCCCACACCCCACTTCCCACTGCCCCAAACAAGTAAAGTACTTCTTAAAAAGAATCACCCATATTCCTGGATTTTGCAATCACCAGCCTTTGTGCCTTGGAATTGTCTTGAAACATAGTGTCTCTATGAACAACAGATATGAATCCTATCCTCTTCCATGCCATTCTCACCATTTCTGATACAATTGAGCCAATTGCCACAGTAATTATGTCAACCCATCTCATTAAGATCTTCCTCTCTTTTCCTGACCTTTCACCTTTTCAAGCATGATATCTCTTTCCAAGGAATAATTTCTCCTAGCAACATATCCAAAATATTAGAGAAGTAGGTTTGGCCTAATTGCCTCTAATGTTTTTTAAGACATTTGTTCATTCTTTTGGCAAGAAATAGGATATTCAGTACTCTTCTGCAACACTACAACTCAAAGTTATCAATTCTGTCATCCTCATTCATTTTCCGGCTCTTAGATGCATAGCAAGTGATTGAAAAGACAATGGCCTGAATCATGACCACCTTAGTCTTCAAACTGACATCATGGCTCTTCAGTATTTTGCAGAGATTCCTGATGTCACCTTTTCCCAAAGATATGTTGTTGCTATTGTTAGGTGCTGACAAGCTCAAGTGACCCTATGAACAATAGATCTGAACCCTATCCTATCTTATCCAGTGCCATCCTTACATATTCTGGCATATTTGTACCCATTGCTGCAGTCATTGTGCCAATCTATCTGGCTGATGGTCCTGCTGTCTTTCACTCACTCTCCACCTTTTTATACTTAACCTTCCATCAAAATAACATGATGTCAGTTTGGTGACTAAGGTGCACCTGACTTCACCCATGTTCTTTCCAATCACTTGGTATGCATCTGAGAGCTGGACAATCAATAAAGAGGACAGAAGAAGGATTGATCTCTTTGAGCCATGGTATTTGAGAAGAATAACGAATATCTCATGGACTGCCAAAAGACCAAACAAGTATTCTCAACAAGATGGAGTGACACAGTGACTACACTAATGGGCTCAAGAGTGTCAGAGATTGTGAGGATGGCACAGGATAAGACAGGGTTCAGGTCTGTCATTTACAGGATCTCTATGAGTCTTATTAAACCAGACAACACCTAACAATAACAACTAACTAAATTTGCAAGCATGATGTCACTCTCCACTTAATCTCTCTCCTAACAACATGTCCAAACTATGTGAGACGGAGCTTTATCGCTTTTGCCTTCATGGAGCATTCTGGCTGAAACTTCTCCACAACATATATGTTTGTTCTTTTGGCGGTCCATGGAATATTCAGTATTCTAACACCACAGTTTAAAGGCTTCAGTCCTTCTTCTGTCATCCTTACTCATTGTCCAGACTTTAGATGCAAAGCAAACAAGTGACTGAAAGGCCATGGCCTTAATGAGGTGTACCTTAGTCCTCAAACTGACATCATTGCTCCTAAATAGTTTGGAGAGGCTCCTGACTACTTAATTTCCTAATATAGTATCTCCTCTGACTTCCTAAGTCCTGGTACTAAGGATATTAATTGTGGATCCAAGTAAAATGAAGTTGTTTTAGAGTTTCAAGCCTTTCTCTATCATGATGTTATCTATTGGCCCTGTGGTAAGGTCCTTTGTTTCCTTGATATTGAAATGTAATCCATATTGAAGGTGGTAGGCTTTCATCTTCT